AAAATGACAGGCTGTGAAGGTTTGTGAACAAAAGATATTTGATTATATTTGTAGATGTTGATACACCTTAGCGTGCAAGACAGATGTCCTGAAGACGCACTTTTGATACATTATGTAACCACACTACCTGCTTCACGTACCTGTTTCACAATTCTTCCCCGACCACCCCTCAACACAGGCACATGTATAATCATTAACACCATCCGTACACGTACCTCCATTTTGACACGGGGCATTAACACACTCGTCGATATCTAGTATAAGCAATGTATTGAGGATTTAAATGCGCATATGATACACTAAATATGCACATATTTTTATATCGATATATATATATATATATATATATATATATATATATATATATATATATATATATATATATATGAACAAAAGTAAGTGATACTCTAGCTGGTGTTTTTTTTTTTGAAAGGAAAGGAAGTATATCGTGAAAAAGAAAAAAATACCGAACATTCAGTAGTGTCTACAGTAGCTGAAAATCAAATTAACATGTTGAAGATTCATTTCTTGTGAGAAACTTCAGCCAATGACGGTACCAACTAGTTACATAAATTTTCAGGTAAATTTACCTAATTAAGTGTAGTTAAAGTTATAGTGTAGTGTACTACCCACCTATTTCACAATGTTCTCCCGTGAACCCGTCAGCACACTGGCAAGTGTAATGGTCATTTTCATCGATACACACCCCGTTATTTTGACAAGGATTTTGTTCACAGGGGCCAGGTGGGCCCTGCGTTTGTTCTCCACCTGGAGTCACTGGGCTTTGAGTTTGTCTCCGGCCGGAGTCACTGGGCTTTGGGTTTGTCCTCCGGCCGGAGTCACTGGGTCTTGGGTTTGTCCTCCACCCGGAGTCACTGGGCCCTGGGTTTGTCCTCCACTCGGAGTCACTGGACCTTGGGTTTGTCCTCCACCCGGAGTCACTGGGCCCTGGGTTTGTCCCCCGTCTGGAGTCACTGGGCCTTGGGTTTGTCCTCCGTCCGGAGTCACTGGACTTTGTGTATGCTCTCCACCTGGAGTCTCAGTCACCGGAGGACCCTGCGTCCCTCCTCCGCCCGGAGTGCCACCACCACCGCCACTTTCTGAAATAATTGTAGAGAAAACATAAATACATTGCAATTTCACATTTTCATTACAAGAAAACATTGCCATGTTTTGATCATTGACCGTGAATGATTCGTAATTATTATTATATATACATGAATGTCAATCTTGCTTTTTCAAATAAAATGCATATTCATCTCTCAAAACCACAAAAACTGTACAAGAAATGTGAGGAAAAACCTATCCAACTATCTTACGTAAGGTCGTTACAATAACTTCTTGCGGTGAACTCTTGACACCAGCCTCGCTAATGGTACTGATTTCAAAGGTGTATTCGGTGCCAGAGTCAAGGCCAGTAACAATGTTGTTCGTCAATTCTTTGTCTACTATAACCGTTTCAACCGGTTCTCCATCAGCCGTCCTATAAGTAACTTCATAATGGTCGAATTCCCCCTCAGTCACTGCATCCCAGCTGAGATCAACACTTGATGACGTCACATCATTCGCAATACCATTTGTAGGACTTATCGGACCTGGTTAAATTACACAGTAAATATATTTGATGTGATACACACTGTGGGCGTAGCTAGTCGCTTTTTCGGAAACCTGCGTTAGAATAGCGTTAAAAATATACTCCGCAGAATACCGATACACTAACCGTGACCGATGCTGACATGCTTTATAAAAACTAAAATTATTTTATGATGTTTAAAAGCGTTGCCTCATGTCACAAGGAATACCGCAATGAATTCTGAGAGATAACACAAGACATTGAAGTGGCATTCAAATGAATAATTAAAATGACCTTATTCAACAAAGTTCTACTGCACAGATATAATATTAACAGCAAAATGTCTCGGGATTTTTGAATATTAAAAATATCAATACGCAATTGCTTAAAAATACACATAACAGACAGATTAGTAGTAAGATTTTGATGTAATGAAAGAATATTTTAGTTCGAGCTCACTTACTTGGCGAAGTTCTGATGGAGCGCGGTTCACTTGTTACACCGCCAGTCGTTACTGTACTGACGCTTATATCGTACGATCTACCGGGCACTAAATCATCAATAGTAAATGATCTTTCTTCTTTCGTCAACGTTGCAGGTATTCCATCCACACCTTCTACATTTAGACGATATCCAGTGTAGTCCCCGTCCGGCTCACTCCAGTCGAGTGATATAGAGTTGATCGAGCTTGTGTCAGCGTTCAGAGTATCTGGCCGATTCGGAACTATAACGAGGTATAATATGTAGCAGGATAATTACGCAACATCAAGAAGCGCGAGCATGCGTGAACATTTATTTTGCCAGCATGAGAAATGTGGCTGTTGCTTATGAGATGTTCAAAAATGAAAAAAATACACACAACAATAGCCCAAAACAGCAAACATTTGTGGATTTGTATTATGATAATTTTCAGGAAAAATGCATAATATTGAATCAATTATTCGATCACATATCTAGCCTCCATCTAAAAAATGGCGGACAACATACACTCATTCATTCGTTGCTAACAGGGACGAACAGACATGAGTGGTGGTTATATAAAACTGCGCCAAGTATATAAAAAGTCTTACTCGTTATGGCATACGTCTCTCCTACCAATGTTCGGTTTCCATAGCCGTCTATGGCGGTCACCGAATAAGAATAGTTTCGTCCAGCAACCAAACCGCCAATGGTGGAATTGTACATGAATGTTCCGTTAGATAAATATGTATAATTGTAACCATCCCACAATGACGTAATGTTGTACAATTCGTCGTTGTAATACAGGTAGGTGAAGTTTGCACGGTCCAAGCTGATTGGCGGCGGAGGCATGCCGCCGTCTGTTGGAGTGTAGTCTACTTCGAGATAATTATAGTCAATTGCCGGCTCTTCCCATGTCACCATCATCGACCCGGTCGTGGTGAATGCTCCCATCTCAACTGGGGAATCAAGATCAAAATAATATCAACTCTGTGAACGGCCCATTTTTATCCATTTACGCCATAGAGGCACCTTGTCGATAGAGGATGCTATTTATTTTAATCTGTTATATTAATTGACTTATTTGTTGAAATCCTTAATGCTTAATTTGTTCGCTGGAACATGACAATAAAAAATAACGACGATATTTATTAGTGGGCGAATATATGAAAACTCTTATAGTTATCGATAGTGATTCGTGCATATCTAATGAGTATTTCCTGTGAGTTAGTACTGTACCAGTTTTAGTGTTATGAACAGCGTTATAAATGTAAACACACAATTACTACATTGATATTATTTCCATATCCTAAATGTGTGTGTGGTCTTTGGTACTGAGGTCAATTACAATCTGATTATACCGACAATATGTATCATGAACTAGCCCTCATGCTCAAAAAACGGGCGATAGGTATACACCTGAGGTGAAATGCATCATGGGATTTTCGCTGTACACACACCGTGGCGACTTCTTTAAATGGTGTTAACGAGCGCAGCTAGAAGTAATTTGTTTTTAAAGCGGAGGGATCGTCACTTGCGCACGCGCGGGAATTGAGTCTCAAGCGACGATAACAACGCATGCTAAAAACGCAAAGACTCATGGGTAAACGCTTGTTTGTAAACAATGACACGCTATGGTCGTCTGGCGCATGCGCAAGTGACGACTTCCCCGCTTTAATTATTTACTTTTCTAATTGTCTGTGTATGGGTCACTGAGTCATGTACACATACGAGAAACAACGCAATGTAGTCTTGATTTTTAAATAATGGATCATTGACTAAACACGAAAACAAGACTTACGTGTTGTTGCATTTACTGTGTTTGCATCGCCAGCAATCTCCATTACTGTCCGTACAGAGTAATTGTAGGCAGTTCCCGGCTGTAGCCCTTCAAACGTGTAGCTGTTACCTTCCGATGCGTTCAAGAAAATTGACCGGCTGTCTATGCCATTTTGCGATTCGTATTCCAGCAAGTATCCTTCAGCGCCCTCTACGTCGCTCCAGCTGATGGACGTACGGGTTGCCATGACCATGTCTATAGTGACATTTTCCGGCGGAGGAGGCGGGTCAACTGTGAGTAATACGCTTAGGTTACAATTATGGGTCATTTTCAAAAGTTAATCCGCGTATTTGATGTGAAAGGGCGATAGTCGTCGCGCTGCGCATGTGCGACATTTGTGTTGATAAACACTGATTTTCCCACAATCCAATGCGCTCTTCTAATGGAAATCACAAGTATAAGGTTTGACCTGGGCGCGACTGGCAATAATTACCACTGGTGACGCCTTCGATACCTTCCAATCACCTACAAAATACCTAATTAAAGCTTGGTAACGTCTTAGTTTGTCCTCGTTGATTTGCGCAACGGCCAAAGTCGTCATTTTTGTTTATATGATACCCATATATCTAGCGCATGCGTTGCGCGACGACTAGCGCCCTTTAACGTTTTACTCGAGCAAAATATGACAATTACACGACTAATATACAAATTATGTAACATTACGGTGGAAAGTTTAAAAACACTATGAATAGCACATGCAATGAAATTGCCAATAGCTCAATGTGAGGGCGCCATCATACTAGTATGCAATTTCTCACACAATTTAGGAAGCTTAGTACTCACGTGTAGTTGCTGCAGCGTACGCGGCGTCTCCTTTGGCTGAACCAAATGACGCCCTCACAGAGAAATTATAAGAGCTAGAAGGAGCCAACCCTTCGAAAACAAATCTTCTCTCCCCCTCTTCCGAGCTCACAAATTGAGACTCTCTCATCGAACCATCTCGCGGGAAATAGTCCAACCAGTAGCCGTCAGCGCCTTCTACGGCGCTCCATGTAATACTTGATGTAGTTGCAGTTACGCCAGTGACGGTGACATTATCAGGAGCTGGACCAGCGCCACCGGATTCTCCTAAACAAAAAATATTCATGACATTAACTATTCCTTTCTGATTTTCTTTTGTATCTTTGGTAGAAACATACTAACACAGGACAACATTAAAAACATTTACCAAAAACGTTCGTGGAGCGCCAATCTATCATTTTAGTTGAGGTTAGAATTGAGTGAATGACGGCCATTTTAACAAGATCAGAATGATTTGACCATACGTTTCTATGGCAGACATGATGAGATAAGAGGACAAATTAGTGATAGGATAATTGTTGGTATTCTGAAATGATTTTTAAAAATGGGTTCTATTAATTTGTTATATATCAGTATAATGTTTTGTGTTACCATGGGATTATAGTTCATTGTACATTACACAATTTATGACCACATTTCTCAAATGTACTGATGGGCTTTTACATTCGTATGAAATTTGAAATCGTGGCAAAGCTTTTGTGTTCTAAGTGAGTCACGGTTGATAGACATCCTGACCCGGGTATCCTCGGGGGCGGACATCCGGGCATTTTCACCGCCTGGCAACCCGCGGCGGTGAAAACAAAGGCCCAAAACTCGCAGAAAACAGTACTTTGGGATGATTGTTGAGACTCCCCTGAACAGTGTAACAAGATTAGCCATATGTGTGTAACATATATAAATTTGGTTGTTCGGGATTACTTCAAAGTTGAGTTTGTGTTGTTTTCTCGAATTTTCACCGGCTCGACCAGCGTTCCACAGCAGCCCACACAGAGCCCATAGAAATGCATGGTACAGTGGTGCGCGTCTTAGCAACGTGGAACGTCTGTGACGTAGCTCCGCCCCCGAGGATAGACATGCAGATAACGTCGGGATTAGTTTGTGCGTCCTCTTAGATTTGTTTCCACTGCGAGACATATTATAACAATGTTGATATAATAAAAACGAAAGTAACACGGAAGTACGCTTAAGTGTTTATATTTTTAATGTTAAACTCACCTGTGGTGGCCCCCACATACGCGGCCTCGCCCTTTTCCGAATCAAACGAGCCCCTCACGGAAAAGTTATAGAATGTTGACTGGCTTAATCCGTCGAATAAGAAGCTTCTGCCTTGTTCAGAGCTCACAAATTGAGATTCTTGAATCGACCCATCTCTTGGGACGTAATCCACCCAGTAACCATCGGCGCCCTCTATTTCACTCCAGGCTATCGACGCAGAGCTATCAGAGATATCGATAACAGTCACGTTGTCTGGAGCTGGACCATTTCCTGTACTGTCAACTGTAACATTTGTAAAATAACCCTGTTATTATAGGAGGTAGTATTTGCATAATATATATATATTAACTTTTGTCATTGAATAGCTAAATAGTTTAAATATGACTTATGTATAAAACGGTTCCTCTATTATATTTTTATCGGATAGTCTTGTTTCCTTTTGCTCTTTTTTTTGTGTGTGATTAAACCGTACAGCCTCGTTTAACGTAAAACTATTACACGCGTACATGGATTATCAATATGGAAATAATGAGTTACCAACATCGACGTGTACTTACGTGTTGTGGCTCCAGCATAACCTGCCTCTCCTATGTCTGAACCAAAGGATGCACTGACAGAAAAGTTGTAATATGTTGACGGGCTCAACCCCTCAAACATAAAACTTCTTTCTGTTTCAGCGTCCACGAATTGTGATTCTGTCACGAAACCATCCCTGGGTGAATAATCTACCCAGTAACCATCAGCGCCTTCTACGCTGCTCCATGTGACTGTGGCAGTGCTGTCAGTGACGTCGACAATACTGACGTCATCTGGAGCGGCCCCAGCACCAGAATTTGCAACTATGATAACACAAAAACCAAATTAATGGATGAATTAATGAATTAACCATCGCACTTTGTTTACGCAAAGTACTAGCGACATATTTCATTACCTGCACAGTGCTATAGGGCGGTTGTCGTTCACGTTCTGTACAAGTAACAAGCATTATTATACATCTGTGACAGTAACGCCATAAGTTGCTGCGTGCCGTAATTTTGCGGTATTTTATTAGGAAATATTAGGAAATGCGAATTCCAAATATGGAATGATTACGCGCTTAAGCGTCCTCCAATAATAAAAACATGGCTGTCACCAGGGTTTGGCCGGACTCCACACACAGAAGTTCGCTGATATCTCAAAGTACGTACTCGACCTCCGCTGTACTGTCTTCGTGCATACTTTGAGGTATCCTCGTAATAACTTCATATTATTGCAAGTTTTGATCTGGTCGCATATATCAAATCAATTTGAGTCTTTAGAGTTATTTATTTGATGCGTCAAACCATCCCCGAAATTACCTAATTATAATTGTTGACAGAGCCTCATTCTTGTACACGTTGATCTGTGTTAATATATATTTTCTCATGCAGTGTGTATTTACAGTAATAGAAACTTGTATATACTTCTAACTCGTTAGAACGAGGTTACCTACGGGTCGTTTCACCAGCGTATCCTTTCTCGCCCACTTCTGAACCAAACGAAGCACTCACTGAGAAGTTGTAATATGTAGAAGAAGTCAGTCCTTCAAATGTGAAACTTCTATCTTCCGATGAGCTGACAAACTGCGACTCTGTCATAATACCATCTCTCGGAAAATAGTCCACCCAGTAACCGTCAGCGCCCTCTACCGCACTCCACGTCAACGTTCCGCTAGTAGACGTGATGTCAGTAACAGTGACGTCATTCGGTGCGGGGCCACCAGCAAGGTCCACTGCGATAAACAAACATTTGTAACTGACACAATCATTAGAATGAAAATAAATAATAGCTATAACTAGAAATTACCCCGAAAGTGAAAATCTCCGCCATAGATTAATACCTCTATCCTATTGTATGTATGGTATGATAAAGCATATTTATCATTATTTACACATATTCAATTTCTTTATGCACAGTGGTAACACATTGAATCCTTAGTAGTTTATTAACTCAACGAATCATACAACGACACAATCTGAAAATGACGATGATTCAGCTTGATTCAGATCTGTCAAAACATATATGATTTTCACCAATAATAATAACAATTCTAGTAATCTTATTATAATAATAATAATAATAATAATAATTTCTTGGTGTGGACCACAGAGGTAGTTCATCCGAGCTAATCTAGTCTGTGGCCCAATCCTAACCAATATACATTTCTATGCAGGCTATATATATATATATATATATATATATATATATATATATATATATATATATATATATATATATATATATATATATATATATATATATATATATATATATATTATATATACGTGTACACATAATATATA